CTCTCTCTCTCTCTCTCTCTCTCTCTCTCTCTCTCTCTCTCTCTCTCTCTCTCTCTCTCTCTCTCTCTCTCTCTCTCTCTCTCTCTCTCTCTCTCTCTCTCTCTCTCTCTCTCTCTCTCTCTCTCTCTCTCTCTCTCTCTCTCTCTCTCTCTCTCTCTCTCTCTCTCTCTCTCTCTCTCTCTCTCTCTCTCTCTCTCTCTTTCTTTCTTTCTTTCTTTTTTTCTTTTCTTCTTTCATTTTTTTGCTTTACTGAGTATGATTGACAAATAAAAAGTCTATATATTTTTTATATATACTTGCAGTCTTGATATATGCATACATTGTAAAATCATCACCATAATCAAGTGATTAACATAACTATCACCTCACCTAGTTACCATTTAAAATTTTTTTTAGAATTAATCTTAGGCAGATTTTTGAGAAGACGAAACTTCAGGGACTGGCAGACTTTTGGAGTGGAAATGTATAGGGATAGGCTGAGCGTTAGCTGTGAAAGTATGGTTACTGGAGTGAGACTATAGTGGATTGGCTGACGTTAAAAGTGTGAGGCTGTCATCAACTTCTGCTTTTCAGAAGTGCGGTAACTGACATTGTCATTGATTAGATGGAATAAGTTTTTAAATGGTCTGGCACTTACTTGTAGTATGAGCAAAGAGCAACGGGCCCTACCTTGAAACCTTTTATTCTTGCTGCCTAACATGGTGTCTTATTCAGTTAACATTTGTTAAATGAGTGAATTAATGAAATTATTATTTTTCGCCCACTAATCTTAAGTCCATAAGAAACAATATACTTTAAAAGTCCATAAAACAGTATCTTAAAGAGACAAAAACAACATGTTCGAAGCCACCTTAATGTTCAATAATAAGGTAAGAAGAGCATGATTCATTCAGCTACTGGATTACTGTGTACTCCGAAAGCATGTTTATCAAGACCATATCACAACATAAAAACATACTTTTAATATAACTGTAAGGAAAAGAAAATGATACAAAAATTTATAAGAAAGCCAAAGCATACAAATAATAATAATAAAAGAATATACATCAAAATAATAATATTGATTGTGATTTAGATTGGTGGACTTATTAGGTGACTTCTTTTTCTATTCTCTGTTTTTAGGTGTGTCAAATTATTAATTATAATTATTTTTAAACATTTTAAAGCTATACTCACCATTTGCTCCTTACCTGTGCCACTTCAAAATAAAATAGTAGGGTTGAAAAGACCTTTACACTTCATCTAAATCTACTAACAAAGATAGTTGTATCACTACCATGCCAGATACCTCCCAAGTCACTGATACAGGAAAAGAGAAAGCAGATCTAGACGGAAAAGAAAGTCAAAAGAGAAAAAAAGAAGCTGCCTGGCATAAATTCATAAATATCACTTCTCCCAAGTGTGTCCCTATTCTCCTCACTGGTGCTCAGACCTGAGCTGGTTCCCAAACCAGCACTGATGTGGGCTGGGCACAGATTTAGAGTGTCCTCCCCTCTCTTCTGTTTCCCAGACTTGGAAACACTTAGTCAGACCTGTCATCCCACAGGCCGATCACACCTGCCAGACACCACTATTGTCTGAGTTTCTTGTCGTACATCTCTCCCCTGATCCTCCACAGCCTGGATCCCATGTTTTGATGGAGTCTGGGATGCCTATCTAGCCTAAAAGCTCTCCCCTTTCCCCACCCCCATGATGTCCAACACTGAAGATGTCTGGGGGTCAGAGGGACACCTGACTTTAGCTATGATAATAGCCACTATCTGTGGTGCTAAGTGGAAGTGAGTATATAAAATTGTGTTATATATATACAGTTTTATGTATATAGTAAGTATATAAAATTGTGTTATATATATTTATATATAATCATCATTTCCATGATTTATAGCCATTATATAATATATATGAACATTTATTTATATTTTTTATTTCATATGAGAAAAGCTACTACTTAAAAAAATGCCAATTAGTGAGCAATATATATATATGTATATTTTAACTTTTTGGATTTTTATTTATCATTTTTTATCTATTTAACTTCTATAAACTTCAAATAACTCACTCTCTCAAAAGATCCATGAAAAGAAAATGTGACTACTTTTTTACATATGGTGAAGGCTACATATTTTGGAATTTTCTTCTCTCTTTTCAATCTCTTATCTCTTTCACCTTTAACTACCTTTTTAAAAAAAATTATTTATTTAAATTAGTTTCAAGTATATAGTACATTGGTTAGACATTTATATTGTTCATAAAATGATCCCCCCAATTGCTCCCACCCTCCCTTGGCCCTCCACTTAGCCATCATATTAATGCTAACTGCATTCCCTATGCTGTGCTACCCATCCCCGTGACCATCTATCAACTACTAATTTGTACTTCTTTAACCCTTCATCCCATTCTCAAGCCCCCCAACCCCCCTCCCCACTGTCCATCACCAAATTGTCCACTATATTTGTGAATCTGTTTTTGATTAGTTTGTTCTTTTTATCTCTTAGATTCCGCATATAAGTGAAATCGTATGGAAGGAAACTAAATGCCCATCAGCAGATGATTAGGTAAAGAAATTATGGTTCACATATACAATGGATATTACTCAGCCATTAAAAAAATGAAATCCTACCATTTGCAACAACATGGATGAACCTAGAGGTTGTTATGCTGAGTCAAATAAGGTCCTCATTTTTAAAATGAGGACCATGAGAGAGGTATTAGGGAAGAAATCCCTTTGGTGGCAGAATTTAGAATGTACTAATATTCAACACATAATATTAGACATCTTAAACCCTTTTTGAAACTAGGTGATAAATTAATAAATACAGGAGATATTGGTATCTAAAAGCGGCCATGAAGGGAACCAAAGTTTTGCCTTTTGGGATATTGGTTTTAAGTTTGTTGTTAAGAAATGAAAGACTCAGATAAAAAATCTTTGACCCTCCCCGCTATCCAGCCTAAGAGATTCAGGAGGATCGGAAAAGGCCTGATTCTGGAAGAAAATCTTAGGATGTTCTCCTTAGCCTAATTTGAATGTATATGGTAGATAGGAGACCTCTTGGCAGGGGGGTGATAGCTTAGATCACCCTCTTTGTCCCATTGTTTTCTGGGTTGCCTAGCAAAAGGTTACCTGCCCCGTGTGTTCTGCTCTTCTTCAATTACCTGTAAATTGCCCATTCTCACTTTTGAAATCTAAGATCCTATTCCTCCCTTTCTCATTTGTCTTTGTCTAAAATGACATATGTACCCCAAGTCTGCCTCACTATCTTTGGAATTTTTACACTTATATGAATTCCTCATGTGCTCATATTAAACTTTGATTTTCTCCTGTTAATCTGTCTCTATTAATTTGATTATTAGTCCAGCTAGAAGAAGGTAGAAGGAAATGTATTATTTCTTCAGCCTCCACAGCTATCTAAAATGGACTCTAATAAGGAATCAAAATTTCATAGGAAAAAAGTTTGATTGCATTTTATTTTGAAAAACAATGAAATTATAAAAATAAGTATTTTGCCTTAGTTTATAATTCCAAAAATCAAGACTTTATTCTTTTATTGTCATCACTTTCTGATATCCTGCATCATCATTTTAACTTTAGCAGCATGATCATAAAGAGGATCATTTTTACAAAAACGTGAATGGGTTTCATCAGTTTTCCTCAAAGGTCACTATTAAATCTTTTGCCAATTTAATCTTCGCCTTTTGAAACACTTGTCTTGTCACTATCCTTGTTGATTTTTCCTCCGGTTTTTAGGTACTGCGATCTGGCTAAAGCTTTGTTTGTCAAAGGCTTTGCCATCTCCGACATTACTTTAATCAACTTCATATAATCCTGTATATTTGACAAGATTTGCAATTTCACTTAGAAATCAATTTGCAATGAAAAAAAAGACTATTTGACAGACAAAGATGTTCACATAAAGGAGTGTTTGAGGAGAGGCCATTAGATTATAGTTTCATGCTGATGAAGAACTGGGAGAATCCCCCTCAGTAGGAGTTCCAGTCTTGCACTGAGAGTTCTTCACTGAGTGCAAGAAAAAAATTAAGCGCAGACCAGAGTTAGAGACAAAGAAAAGTTTATTAGAGAAAGTATAATGCTCCATAGACAGAGTGCGGTCTCTCCTCTCAGGCAGAGAATGAGAGTTTCAAGGATTTCAGTTTAAATCTGTTTTCCTTCCCAAGGACGGTTTTGCAGCCTTAAGGGTATGGGGTAGTAGTTGTTGGTAATCT